AGTTCATTTTTATTTACTTCAACTAGAAGGGTAGATATTCAATGATATTATTAACAATAATATATTTCTTATTTGGTTTTAGTTAAGATTGGGGAAGATGTAAAGGAGGGGATTGGAAGGGAAAGGAGTATGTGAATGCTTACAAGTGTGATTAATGATAGGATAAGTATTTTGAAGGTTAATGGATTGAAGAAATAAAATTTATTTATTTATTTATTTGTAATAAGAGATTAAAGTAGAATAATAATAAAAAAAATTCTTAGATTTATAAAGTCAAATCAATAGTTTAATCCGAAGTTAAAGTGTAAAGTGTATTACTTTAAGAATTATTATGAAAGAGTTATATAGTATATAGATTATTTTGAAGGAGTGATATAGGAGTGGTATAGAATTAATTATAAAAATGATTATTATGGGATAGGTTTTAGCTGTAAAAAGTGTCTGTAGATTGTTGAGGAGGAAGAGGGTAAGTTTTTAGGGGATTGATTATAAATAAAAATAACTATTATATTAAAATATATACAGTAAATATTATTTTTTAATGCAATTAAAATGTTATATATTAACTAATTTGTTAATAGAAACAAAATTTTGATTAGATTTGCTATAATTTGTTAAGAGAGTAGTAAAAGTTTAGTTTAGTTGAGGGGAAAAGGGGGAAAAATTTCATTATTAATTTACATTATTTTTCAATCGAGGGAGTATTGATTATATTCAATATAAAGGCCAATATTACAAATTAGAATGAATGGAAATGTAAATGAATAAGTAATAATAAAGGGATTAAACTTTATTGAGAAAAATTAATGGAAGAAGAAGAGCAATTTCAATATCGAAAATTAAGAAGATTAGTATAATAATAAAAAATTGGATTCTGAAAGGTAATCGAACCCTAGATGATGGGTTAAATCCACATTCAAATGTGGATATTTTTTCTTTATTTAAGTTAGTTTTTTTGGAGATAATAAAGTTAATAAAAAATAAGATGGAAGATAAGATAAATAAAAAAATGATGAATCAAATAATATTTATGATTATTTATATTAATTTATTTAAATTTTTTAATTGGAAATTAAATGTAATAATATTTATATTATATAAATACATAAGTATTAATTAAAAATATATAAATATGTAATATATAATTAATATTAAGAGAGTTTAGGGAGTAAAAAAAAATTAATTGTTTTAAGTGTTTGTGAGGAAGGAAAATGTAGTTTAGGAATAAATATAAAAAAATAGGTAACGTAGTAAATAAATTATATTAAAATCTTCATCAATAAATAGAAATGAATAAGAATAATCAAACAATACCTCAAATCAAAATGTCAGTATAAGATGCTGCCTCAAATCCAAAATGGTGATACGATAAAAAATGTATTTTATAAAGTTATAAATCGAATTAGACATATTGAGAGGAATAAATTTCCAATAATTACATGAATTCCCTGAAAACCAGTAGCAATAAAAAAAGTTGACCCGTAAATTGAATCAGCTATAGTAAATGGGGTATTAATATATTCAATCAGTTAAAGAAGGGAAAAATAAATTTCAAGAATAATTATTATTAAAAGACTTTTTTTTCTTTGATTTATATTTTTATTAAT